ATCCCCTAACACCACAACATCCTCCTCATTTGTGCGCCGGTGTCAAGGTAGTGAGAGGTCAGCAAAAAAATCTCCAAAAATGGTAATAAGCTCAAAGCAGAGCTGGAGGGAAAAAAGTACCCATCTCTGCACTTCCAAAATAATAATGTGATCCAATTTGCTTTCTTAAAAGTTACAATTTTTTAAAAAAGAAAAAAAGCCAAGAACTCTAATTTTGAATACAGGGGAAGGAAAAGGAGAACTGAGTACGTAAAAGAACAGACTGTGAATCCCCAGAGTCCAGAGTAAGGTCAAGGGCAGAGTGAGAGGCCCCAGGACTAAGAGTCAGGCACACCTGGGCCCCCTCTGTGCTCCACTAGCTGTGTGGCCGTGGCTGTGCCACTTCACCTTTTCGAGGCTTCGCTTCCTCATCTGGGGGAGAGGATTCATAATCCGTACAGTGCTAGATGGTTGCAAAGATTGGAAGCAGTGCATGAAAAGGGGACAGCATGGAGAAAGGCCAATCGCCAAAGGTTATTATTGTGTGATTCTATTTATAGAGCATGCGTGAAATGACAAAATTACAGAGGAGGACAACAGATTGAGTGGTTGCTGGGGCTGAGGGCAGGGGATAGAGAGAAAGTTGGCTATGATTATAGAAGGGGACCACGAGGGGTCCTTGGAATGCAGCTGCTCGGTATCTTGACTATGGCGGTCACATGAATTGTCACACATGATAAAACTGCATAGAACTCCACACACACACACACACACAAGTGCATGTAAACCCTTGGAAATCTAAATAAGATTGATAATTGTATCAATGTTAATTTCTGGATTGTGAAGCTGTAACACAGTTATGCAATATGTTACCACTTGAGGAAATGGATGCAAGGGATACAGGGTCTCTATCCTTTCTTACAACTACATACGAATCTATAATTATCTCAAATAAGTGTTTAAAAACAAATCTCGGGCTCGGCTCTCCCAGACTACTAGAAAGTCGGCCCGCTGTTCTGGCAGCGACCCTTCCCGCTAATAAATTCTGTCTTCTTTAAAAAAAAAAAAAAAAAAAAACTCATCACCTTAAAAAAAAAAGTGGCTGGCATGTCATGAACACTCCCTAAGTGGCATATTGGGCAAGTTATCTGTCACCTATAAACCAGAACTGCAAGTTCCTACTTCCGGCTTCAGATTCCAGAAGAAATGCTGAGCACCATCCCTGAGTGAGCTCACTATGTGGGGGTTCATGCCACAGAGGTTATCACCACCACCATCTTCGGACCCCAGCCCTCCAAAACCTCACCAATATCCAAGTGAAATACGCATACTCTTTATATAACCAATGGAGAAAGTTACTGACAGGAATCCATTTACCACACTATTTAAAGAACCTTTTTTCTATCTGGGAGTAATAAACACATACACACTAATAAAAAAGAGCTCTCTAAAAAGAGAGAGAAAAAGTACTTTCATGATCCAGAGCAACATGTTCCAAACTATTCTCCAACCAAGGAACACCAGTCCCCCTCAGGGACTAATAATTCAATAATGATAATGCAAAATTTTAAAATCACGGTCAAGTAAATTTGGGAAATACTGCATACATTTCCCCCTCTGAGAGCTCTAGTGGGGGCGAGGGGCAGGAATCCCCTTCATTTAACTCAGCTTTTTCCAAATTTACTTGTTCACAAAAGCATTTTATTATACCTACTGGCATCCTGAGAAATACTCCCAAGGTCCAGAAATTTAAAAATCATTCTACATCGGTCAGCTACTCACTACCAAATTTCTTCACCCTCTATGTACTTTAGAAGAGAAATGGATGGTTTTTCTATAGTTAGCACAGTAGTTTTAACTGCATGCAATCGGTCATCAATAAACGTTTGCTGAATTAAATACAATGCAGGTACAATTTCCAGGATGACAACTTTAGGCATAGGAGAAGCAGCATTTCCTGATGTTGTTGTTGTTGTTCGTTTTTTAAGTCTCAGCTGAGAAAACAAAAGTGCTCCTTTCTAGAAGTTTCTGAACATATCTCAGAAACTTGTCTCCTCCTGAGTGGCAGCTACTCACAACTAAAACAGCACTTTACCACATGGTATGATTATAAGGAATAAGCTCAAGACTAAAAACATCTGTACTCAAACCTCTAGGTCCTGAAATTCGATTAGCAAGATACAGGGCCTTGCATACCAAAAATAAGGAAAAAAGCTGTAACTGCGATTATTCCTGGGAGAGGGAACGAGTTAAATTTGTCATTTCATGAAGGTGACTTTAGCTTAAATGAATTTCGAATGTCAGAGAGTTTTCTGAGATCAGGCTTGGATGAGGACAAGAGAAAGGTGAAGACCCTGAATCCTAGGGAGGGGCAGAAGAAGAAAGAGAAAAGGGAGGCAGACAGTATCAAAAACAAGCTCCATTTAATTCACAGGTACCTCAAGGCCAGAGACACTGGTTTACAATGACACATTTCCATTTATAGAAATAACCCATACTCAACTTGAAGAACCATAAACCAACTGGAAAATTAAAAGGAATTGATCAGAATAATTTTAAAAGAATGAAATTAATCAGAAGAATGAATAAAAACAAACATTCAGGCTCTTTAAAAAATACACAAAGCGGGCTTCCCTGGTGGCACAGTGGTTGAGAGTCCGCCTGCCGATGCAGGGGACACGGGTTTGTGCCCCGGTCCAGGAAGATCCCACATGCCGCGGAGCGGCTGGGCCCGTGAGCCATGGCCGCTGAGCCTGCGCGTCCGGAGCCTGTGCTCCACAACGGGAGACGCCACGACAGTGAGAGGCCCGCGTACCGCAAAAAAAAAAAAAAATACACAAAGCACTTGAGGAATATGCACTTGGAAATTATACACATCTTCTATGTAAAGATTTGGAAAAGAAGAATTTATCATGAACCCCTGATGTACCAGAAAAATGTATCACCAAAGGATAATAAAGTGAATTCACTGAGCATTCCCCTCCAAGGCACACTCATGCATTTTAGGAACATTTCCAACATGTCTGAAAACAAAATGGGTTTCAGATAGAACATCAATTTAACCGGCAGAACCTAGCTTCACAAGCATTCCTGGTTTTCAAGGCTGCTGTGGAGAACTGAGCAATGGTTTAGACATTCCATCACAGTGAATAATCCCCACATCACAGGAATACGGCTATCACACACATCCATTTCTCAGTATGAATAAGGCCAGGTCTAATCGTTCCAGTTCAAATGAACTAAGATGTCAACTGACAGATGTCAATCTGGCCCTCCACCCTGCCTTCTCTGTGGTCCTCCCCTGCAGCATCACAGGACCGCATCTCTCCCCTTGGTTACAATAATTTGAGCAGCTTTTGCCTTGACTGTCTCAGCCTTCTCCTCTTCTTGGCCCAGAAAATATTATGGCAAAAATATTAAGTATTTTGGTTAAAAAAATGTTTTCTTGTAATTGAGCTGAAATTGACACGACAACAACAACAAAGTATCTATGGTTTAGCAGAGATCCCAATGAGCTTCCAGAACTCCGGCCCCCACAAACTCAACAAATTGGAGATAAGAAAGTCAACAGAAAATTTCTAAATCTGCCTGCCGACTAACTGAAACGCCCTAACAGTCCATGAAAGGTTTCTTACAAGGAGCTCAGGTATCTTTTATACTCTCCTTGCAGCAAGATGTTCTTTTCCGATTTCAAAGGGAGAAAAGTGGTCTGTTTCTTTCCCTCCCCCATTCATGAACACAGGAAATAGTGATTTTCCTAAATTCCTTTTAACACTGATGGAAGGAGGGAAAGCCTAGGTACTCTATCCCTAATCCAGTATTCTATTAATAGAATTTTAAATGCTGTGCAGTTTTTAAAATAATTAAGTGCGGGCTTCCCTGGTGGTGCAATGGTTAAGAACCCTCCTGCCAATGCAGGGGACATGGGTTCGAGCCCTGGTCCAGGAAGATCCCACATGCCGTGGAGCAACTAAGCCCATGTGTCACAACTACTGAGCCTGCGCTCTAGAGCCTGCGAGCCACAACTACTGAGCCCACGTGCCACAACTACTGAAGCCCGCGCACCTAGAGCCCGTGCTCCACAACGAGAAGCCACTGCAATGAGAAGCCCACACACCGCAACCAAGGGTAGCCCCCGCTCACTGCAACTAGAGACATCCCACGCACAGCAACAAAGACCCAATGCGACCAAAAATAAATAATTTTTTTAAAAAATCATATTAAAATAAGTGGGAGGACAATGAACAATGACTGTACTGTGGCACTCTGCTCCCCTCACCTCTCCAGGAGGCTGACTCGTATCTTATCTGGAGGCTCCCATTTGGACACTGATGCACCTGCAAAGTGACAGGCCCTGCCTACCTGCAGCAAAAGCACTCCCTTTTATCCTTTAACCTGCCTAAGCTCATTTAGGTCAATAAAGCCAGGTTCAAAAACAAGCTAAACTTTTTTCATTAAAAAAAAAAAAGGGGCTTCCCTGGTGGCGCAGTGGTTGAGAGTCCGCATGCCGATGCAGGGGACACGGGTTCGTGCCCCGGTCCAGGAAGATCCCACATGCCGCAGAGCGGCTGGGCCCGTGAGCCATGGCCGCTGAGCCTGCATGTCCGGAGCCTGTGCTCTGCAACGGGAGAGGCCACAACAGTGAGAGGCCCGCGTACCACAAAAGCAAAAAAAATATAAAAAAGTGCTGGGACTTTCCTGGCACTCCCAATGAAGGGGGCACGGGTTCAGTCCCTGGTAGGGGAACTAGTAAGATTCCGCATGCCACACCACATGACCAAAAAAAAAAAAAAAAAGATTAAAAATTTAAAACAAAAAAAAAATTTTAAGTGCTTTTGTTTTTGTAAAAGACTAAACCATTCAGCAAGACCTGGCCAAACCTTCCATTTACACAGTGGGAAACACAGTAACAACTGGCCCAAATAACCCTAAGGGAAGAGCCAGACTCAGGGCTTCAGAAACGAGCTAAAGCCTCCAGGTGGGCTTCCCGGTTCCCCCACTGTGCACATTAGGGCACTCACAGGAAATGATTCCCGTTGCGATTCCTCTGCTTCCATAGTCAACGGAAGGCAATCCCAGCAACAGGAAAAAAAAAAAATTAGTATGCCACTGGAGCTCAAAGCCTGCTGGATCATCAGAGCACCTTCTCTCCAATTCCAAACACAAACCCACATGCCTGAAACGCTGCACTGAGGAGAGGCTGTGTGCCTGCCTCCAGGTCTTGCTCCGCTAAGTATCTTCATGTTTATCTTGAGCACTGGGCCAGCCTAATGGCTGATGCTCCTGCCTTCCTGGGTCCAGTGGCAAGTCAGCCAGGAGATCCTCCCGGCCAGGCAGAAAGAGCTTCGGTGAGCTAAGGGAAGCCAGCCGTCAGAGCTGTGTGTGTCTGAGAAAGCAGCCTGCCCTGCCACGCGGTTCTGAAACGCCAGCTCATTAAAGGTTTCCAGCAGCAGGACTGAATGGTGTCAGCAAAAATCAGCGAGTCCAAGTCCTTCCGGCTTCCCTTTCTGGCCAGTATGGGAGAGTCTTAGCCCCAGCGGCCTTCATAGACCTCTGCCCAGCAAGAGGGAGCCTTCCCTTTAAGGCACTCAAGAAGCCTTTTCTGTGCACCCTGGCAGAAAAGGACAAACCATGATCCCAATAATTAATGCACACCCAGCAGAGAACAAATCAAACTTAGCATGATTATACATTCACAGTTAGCTTCCCAAACTGGGTGAAACAATCAGTATTCTTGGTCACAATGGCCACATAATAAAACTGCTATCCTAAGAGATTTCTAAGCACAACGCCAGTATACATGAATTGCACGTGACTACGACTGCTGTTCAGATCGTTGGACCCTCCTCATGTCATATTTCTTAAATTGCTTATATACTAAGTTCCGTTGTTTTGCTGTACATTTCCCGGCTTTATTTCTCAGAAATGCATGGTACACATTGCCACTGTCTGCTAGGGGACCGGGCTTAAACAATCTATGGCTTCTCATATAAGCAGCTAGAGACTACTTATACCTCCTTCAGAGATACATCACTTCCTTATGATAATGACTCCGTATGACCCAACTATCACTGAGGCATATAGATTGGCTCTGAATGTCCCAACTTTATACAGCCTTTGATATGCTTTACAAATATTGTAATGTTTATAGGTAATGTGTTATTTGATTAATTTCCTAGCTTTTACTTCTTTTTAATCTCTAGCATGTGCTCTAACCCCCAGAAAATAGAAAACCCTGTATATTTTTTCTACATATCACATTAAAGTAATACCTCTCCTACCTTCATATTCCCTCTTTGTTTCTACTGTCTATCTAATCTAACCAGAACTGAAAGTACAAGACAATTACAATGCTTCACCCAGAAATGAAACCCATCTCTTATTTCACGGAAGAAAAATTACAACCAATATGACACTTTCTGCTGAGGTTTTTAAGCCAACAGCCAAGACACAGCAACAGCATAAGTTGTGTTCATAATCTAGTTCAGAAATGGTCAGTCCATGCATTGAATTGGTTAAGTTTTATTTTAAACCAATATTAATTTTTATTACCAGAAAGTTTTTTTTTTTAAGTGCATGTAAGGCACTGTTGGTTACTCCTTGTATAAACAAAACCAGTGAATAAGACAAGTTGGTCCAAGTTGGGGGTTTAAAAGCTTACAACCCGCTCAATTAACTAGATTCACCCTGCCCTCGCATAAATCATAAAGTGTGTGATTTCAAACTCTGAGATGATCACACCTAGAAATCTGAAGCATTCACAACATACCATCAAAGACAATGTGCCACCACACCACATCAGTCCACCCCTAGGGAGTAAGGTTGAAATTCTTGTGCCTTCATTTCAGTTACCAGCCACTTGTTAGAAAGGCACTTCAAAGCTCTAAGAAAGTAGTTAGAGCTTCTTATCTCATTAACCACATAATTACAGGTTGTTTACCCTGAGCTGGGAAATTTACCCCTACCCAGGATAGACAGTAAATGACAGCTTCTCAAGGCTTACTAAACATTAATTAGAATAATAAACCATAAATATCTATGTGCTTTCAGACTGTGTTGAGTTTTGTGACACATATTTGTGACTCTGAAATTTCAAGTGCTTTCTCAATTGTATTAAAAAAAGAAACAGAACCTGACAACAACTGCCCCAAGAAGGAAATCCCAGTTATCTAATTTAATTTCATTTATTCTAGAGGTGAGTCCTCCTGGGGAAAATTCATCTAATAACTGACTTTCCTCAACCCTTACAGGTGGCTACAAAAATAATACAAAAGCCTCTGTTAAGTCTCAGAACACAGCTCGCATCCCACCCTGATAGATAAGCCCACTAAAATTCTCAAGTAAGGCACAAAACCACCTGCAAAGGTAAGAGGTGGAAGAAAAGGCTGCAGTTAAAGGGTCCCCAAAGAGAATTCTGTTTTTCCCACCATTGTTTACTAAAGGCTGCACAAACAGCATCCTTCTAATAGAAGGTCAGCTGGACAGACCACAGATTGCCAGGGTGCCTGCCTGGTAAACACAACTTAATGACTAATTCATGAATTCAAGAAACCACACAAGAGCCTAACAGCAATAAGGCCAATTAACTCAAAATTAAACAGCACCCAACACCTGTGATTCAGGCCCAGCAAGACAAGGGCATGGTTGCCAGGGGGCATTAAGAACTAGGGGAGCTACCATATGGGAGAGTGGAGAGGGAGAAGTGCCAGGAAAAACAACCCTGTACATCTTTCCATGCTGGGACCTTGTGCTCAACTCAGAGAATATTTTCAGCTGAAGTATTTGGTGAGGTTTATACTTGCTGCCCCAAACATTCCCTCTCGTTAAACCAAATCTCTGGTTTTTCAAACCCCACCTCTACCTAGATTCGCGGGTAGCAAGTTTGTAAAGACAATACAACAACTTGGGCAAATTCACTGAATGTGGCTCAGCAGTCTTTACAGGGAGGAAAGTCTGGCCAGAGGAGCATCTTTTCTGGACTAAAAGCTTCAGTAGGAGCATTTTGTAGAAGGGGGGCAAGCAGCAGGGCAAGCGGTAAATGAACAAACATATAAAGACGTGTCTCACCCTACGTCACTGTGAAGCATACTCAGCAGACAAGATGAAAAAGTTCTGGAGATGTGTTGACTTTTATCTTCTTGTTTGTCACCTCTTGGGCGTAAGATGGATGCCCTGCCTCTAGGCTCAAGCCCATGTGGAAGGCAGAGGAAGCTGAAAACAGGAAGGGATAGCTCCTGTCTCAGAAAAGCAAAACTTTCACAGAAAGCCCCAGTGGACTTTCACTTATATTTAGTTGGCCAGAATGTATCACATGACTCTCTCTAGGCCAGGGTTTCTCAGCCTCAGCCCTACCAACATTTGGGGCCAGATAACTCTCTCTTGTGGAGGACCAGCCTGTGCATTACAGGATGTTTTCCTGCAGCCCCGGCCTCTACCCACACATGCAACTAGCACCCCAACCCCAGTTGTGACGATCAAAAATGTCTCCAGACACTGCCAAATGTCCCCCGGAGGGCACAATCACCCCGGGTTGAGAACCACTCTTACGCTAATCACCATTCCATAGGCTAAGATGAACAAGGGAGTGATGAACGGGGCAGTCAGGCAACCAACAGAGCCTGCCGCAGAGGCTCTATACCTATTTCTTTTTTTTTCTTTTTTGCGGTATGCAGGCCTCTCACTGTTGTGGCCTCTCCCGTTGCGGAGCACAGGCTCCGGACGTGCAGGTTCAGCGGCCACGGCTCATGGGCCCAGCCACTCCGCGGCACGTGGGATCTTCCGGGACCGGGGCACGAACCCCCGTCCTCTGCATCAGCAGGCGGACTCTCAACCACTGCGCCACCTGGGAAGCCCTCTATACCTATTTCTTAAATGTTTTCAAATGAGCTCACTTACCACCATGCTAAGTATTTTGGAAAACGGAGGAGAAACATACAAAGTGCCCCCCCACCTTAGAAGTACTAACAATAAAATTTAAAAGTCAAGATTAATACACAAGAAATACTCAGCAGGAAAAAATATACTGTAAAGGACTTAAACCATAGAAAGAGGGAAGACATCTTTCATTTGGTCTAGATCAGGACGGATAAAAGCACATAAGAGTGTAGCCTGGAGTCCGTAATGAAAATGTCACTTCAGAGCAGAACTTGCTTTTGAAGACTCGAAATACTTAGACAAGTGGCCAGAGAGAAGGAAAACAATCTAAGCAGAAGTCATAGAGTGAGCATGGCTAAGAGCTCAGGAGCTACTCTTCAACAGGCCTGAGTTCTGACGAGTCAAGCCTGAGAATGGACAAGTCATTTAGCCTCTCTGTGCCTCAGTTTTATCATCTGTATAATGGGGATAATAACAACATCTACCCCCTAAGGTTGTTGAGAGGATCAAGTGAGAGTATTTGACAAACAGTAAGCAATCAGTTGTTAGTTTCTATTGTTATTGTACAGCTATAATATCTATTAATTAACATAATAAGAATTCAGAAAGAGAGGCTGCCTATCAGGAATCAGAGGAGTCCCTGTTAGAGAGTAGCTGTGATATTCTAAGCAGGACAACCAGAACCTAGAGTTGGTGGGTAAAGCCAGGCTCCTGATGGCCGTGAGATACTGGCTGAGATCCAGGCGGGACAGCAGAAGGACCACCCCGAAAGCACCAACCATACCTACCAAGAGGTGGTGGCAGGAGGGTTGGCTGGAATCTGTGGGTGATTTCTAGTAAACTTCCTTGCCAGCAGCCATGGTCAAGTCAATAATAAGACATATGTTATAAAGGAGTTGTAGGTTACAAAGCATTTCTACATGTACTAGCTGAGCACTTTGCATGTAACAAGCCCGTCCACAGCTAATAGAGAGCTACCCTGGCAAGGAGGAGTTCGAGTTATCATGTGAAAAGTTACTGCCAAGCAAAGCCAATCTGGGGAAAGAAGTGAGAGATATAAGACTTGCCTTTATAGCACAAGAGGCATGGATTTGAGCCAGAAAATGATTGATTAATGCAGTATCTTTCATTGATTTAAGAGAAAATAGATAAGTTTTAAAAAAAAATTTCCAGTCTATGCATTTTTATCTGTGAGCAGGCCACCAATGAGCCTTCAGAGTCCCAAACTCCTATCTGCTGGGTCCTGATTCTTTTATGATCAAAGGAGAAAGGATTAAAACACACACACACACAAACTACCAATTATTCCTGGTACCCTGTTCTTCCATTCAGGGTTTCTTTAGCAGTTAACACCTGCAGATGCTCCCCAGGGTTATACACATTCATCTTCCACTAAGTTTAATAAGTTCCATAAGGCACATAATAATAGTTTGAGGAAGTGGAAAACTTAGCCTTACCTAAAAAAAAGAAAACAACATAAAACTAAAAAGTACTCCTGTGTGTGCCTGACAACCACAAAGGGAGAGGACCAGATGAAGAGCAGGGATGCGTTCTCCACGGCATGGTTTTGGTTACTCCGCCCATCCTCACTTGTCCAGTTATCTGGGATCTTTTATGTAGTAATATATAGATTGCTTTCTATCGTACCCACGATAGATGCCTCCAGCTTCTGTCAAAATTCAAGGTGTCCAATACCTTCTAGAAAGTATCTGTCATTTAGTCCACTGCTGGGTTTCAATAAATACTGAACCTCAACAACTGAAAAGACTGATCCACTTATAATAAAAACCTTTGCCATGGAAGGAGTGAGTAGAAAAAAATCCACGTAGAAAGGTTTTCTGGTGGATCCACAATCACATCACAGAAGCAAAAAGTGCCCTTTTCTGATTTGCGGGGCAGCCTTACTTCTAGCACACGGAAGTGATAAAATGAGACTTTTTTTCATATTACCAGGAATGATAAATTTAAACAAATATCATTTACTGTACTGTGTCCTCAATATTACACTGGGCATTTTACATTTATTATTTTCCCTAATTTTCACACAATAGGGTGGATCACCAATGTCCCTAATTTTCAGGGCAGCGCTCTGAGGGTCAGGAGGTTAGATAATTGACTCAAGGACATAGTAGAGAAGCTTGAATTCCAACGAGCATCTTTCTGACTTCCAACAGTGTCACACCACCAATACAGCTAAACAAGCAATAGAGCAACTTGGTATCCAACTAAATGCACCAAATACACTACAGTGATCAGTGAAGTACAAACTTTATTAAAGCCAAGAGTTATGAAAACAATTTACCATTCCATTCTGTCCCCACTTGTTCTTTGAACTTGACTTTACCATAGCCTAGAAAACAGGCTGCTCACCCTTCCTTGCCATCAAATACAGCAGAATCTAGAGCCGCCCCATCCAGTAGAAACATAACATGAGTTATGTCTGTAAGTTTACATTTTCTTGTGGCCACATTTTTTTAAGTAAAAAAAAGAGACGAAATTAACAACTTAATTTAGTTAATCTAATTATCCAAAATAGTAGCATTTAAACATGTAATCAATATAAAAATTATTACTGAGACATTTTACGTTCTTTCCTTCATGGTAAGTCTGAAATCTGGTATGTATTTTACACTCACAGTGCAACTCAATTCAGACTAGCACACTGCAAGTGCTCAGTAGCTCCATATAAATTTGCAGCTACCATACTGGGCCACACAGATATACACCCTTAGAGTTACATGTACAAAACCCCTTTAATAATTAGCCCCGTGTCTCTATAATGATCTGAAAGGAGAATGCTCTCTTCTTGCTTCTATATGTACACGCTCCTAAACGGGAGGTGAGGTGGAGGATGGAAGGACTGGGAGTTTGGGGTTAGCAGATGCAAACTCTTATATATAGAATGGATAAAAAACAAGGTCAGACTGTGTAGCACAGGGAACTACATTCAACATGCTGTGATAAACCATAAAGGAAAAGAATATGAAAAAGAACGTATATATATGTATAACTGAATCATTTTGCTATACAGCAGGAATTCACACAACACTGTAAATCAACTACAGTTCTATAAAATAAAAATTTTTAAGTACAATTCCTAATTTAAATAAATAAATAGAAGTATACATTCCTGGGATGAGATTACAGGGATACCAACCAGACACTACCTGAAATTCCACCACTGTAGCTTCCACTTAGTTCTTTAAATATAGCACTTTGAGCTGTTCTAACAAAAACGCCCCTGAACAGAACACTTTACACTGATATGCATCGTTAAACCTTAGGTCACACAAAGGGAGCTGACAGCATGTCCGGAAAGAGTGGACAGGACACAGAAGACAAAACAAGATAGCCGACTTTCGGCACACCTAGGCTCTGAGCCTATCACAAGTCCCTGTCCCAAATTCCCTTTGTCCTCCACAACTTGGAGGAATTACTGAAATCACTCCTTGTCAAGAATAACTAATGTCAAGAAACACAAAAAGGATGGACTTCCCGGGTGGCACAGTGGTTAAGAATCCGCCTGCCAACACAGGGGACACGAGTTTGAGCCCTGGTCCGGGAAGATCCCACATGCCACAGAGCAACCAAGCCCTTGTGCCACAACTACTGAGCCTGCGCTCTAGAGCCCACGAGCCACAACTATTGAGCCTGTGTTCCTAGAGCCCATGCTCTGCAACAAGAGAGGCCACCGCAATGAGAAGCCCACGTACCGCAATGAAGAGTAGCCCCCGCTCGCTGCAACTAGAGAAAGCCCATGGGTGGCAACGAAGACCCAATGCAGCCAAAAATGAATAAATAAATAAATTTTAAAAAGGAATACAAAAAGGAAATTACTGGGGCTTCCCTGGTTTCCAACCCAATAACCTAAGGCAAACGCTGTAAATGCCCACAGGGTCCCACAGATGGAATGCAGGGGCCAGATGAGCCTGTTCCCAGCTGAGGGCACAGACTTGAGTCCAGGCCAGGAGACCATGGCGGGTGGGAATGTGGCCCCAGCGTTGCTTGGTCACCTGACTTCTCAAGAGAAGTCACAAAGCTGGATTTTCAGGTTCATCACCTGATTTTTACGTAGTAGCAACTCACATAATATTTTAGATAACCGTGTACAGCTAAACAGGAAGTGGCTGCAAATCATACGTTATCTCAGGGAACTCATTTGCAA